CTTGTATCGAACATACGTCATACTAAGAGCCTGTGTACCAAATTTCAGGTCGTGGAACGCTTTAGAACGTGCGTATCCGGCCACTACCGGAAAGTGGTCCTTACTACCCCCCCCCCTCCTTTTGACCCAAATTTTACCTAGAACGTGAGGTATACTTCAAGGTCTATACAATGTATATACTCGCCACCTTCACTTTTTTCAATTTTTCTTTCTTTGTCATGTAGTCTATGTTATAGGCTATCGTATGATACCTTGATCTCTTCATGAATCATCTTGAAACCAGAGAACAAGCTGCCTAAGTGGGGGGTGCCTTAGGGGGTCCTTAATACCCGTCCTTACTCTAGGATGAAAGCGACGCGCTGCATAGCTCGTTTGTTAGTAAACCATAATCGACTTCGTAAGTCGCGAGGGAAGGGATTGCTGTACCCTTCTCGCGATAAAAATACCTCAGGCATGAACCGCAGGAGGGGGTCCAACCCCCCCCTCCCATGTGACCCCGGTTGGGTCGTCTAGCTAGCAGAAGTGGAGGATAGGGGCCAGAAGGGCAGACGACAGAGTCCAATGATGGGAGAAAAACAAACTTTCATGTGTAAAAAGGGGAAGGAACGGTGACGTCACAGAGATCCCAGAACGCAGTCGTGGGTCATGAACTCATCTGCTGCAACGAAACCACCAAACACACAAGCAGTCTCCACGTTGAGCGCGTATACCGTCCTTCGCAGAGTTCGTGCTATGCAAAGGTCATCGCATCACGTGCAAGGTAGAGGTTGACGTCGAGATGAAATGTGCTGAACGGTGTATCTTTACCCATCCAAGTGCTTCATGTAGCCCGGGGCTAGCCCCCAGCTTCATGTGAAGCTCGTTTGCCTTGTGTTGCCGCTCTCGTATCTGAGTACGCGAACAAACTCGTGGCGGAAAACCGCCGCTGTTTGGAAACGAAAAGTATCTTCGCGCGTCCGAACACACACACAAACCGAAAATCTTGGTCGCGAAACAGTGCAAGCACTGCCGGCATCGGAGGCAAGGCGAACAGTAGAGTTGCCGCAGCACCTCGAACTCCACCCTCGGCGCTTACAACAAGTAGGGCACGTCTAAGGAAACCCGAAGCCGCGACCGAAACTTCTCACACTTGCGGCGAGTTCGAAGGAGTTCGCTGACGGGCACCCCAGACTACGCAAACCTTAACAACGGTTGCAAGTCGTCAGCCATCCGGGACACAAGTACTTGGTGCGTGCATCTTCCTGCTGCACGAACAAAACGTGGCATCAAAACGCATCTATTTACGGCACCGCTGTCCCTCCTCGTGATGCCGGTTACGCCCGACAACGAGATGGGTTTTAGTCTTGCATCGTAATAGTCGGGAGTCGTGTGTAGTGTTTGTCGCCGCAACCTACTGCTAAAAATACAATTTTGCATGCAGATGCGGAGGGCTATCTGTCGACATCTGCATCCGAATCATACAGATACTCGTTAAATGATGGAAGTAAAAGTCCCACTAAAATAACAACCCTTCACAAAGGCTAAACCAGGTCTATCCTACGTCTTTCGAGCGAAACACCTCTCCAGGATCCAATGACGGAGGAACACGGTCTTTGATTTCCGCCAGGGTGATGTCCTCGCCAGTGTCCATATTTCGAACCTTGACGGCCTCTTCAATCCCAATTTCTTCAACCACTTGTTCTTTGTTGCCTGGGGGAGTGCGTAAAAGCTTCTCTACTTCAGCCGCATCCGCGCTTGCCGCGCTACCTCGCACGCCGCTATCTCTGAAGCGAACTAGGTCCCGTTGACCACTCTCGGATGCTGCACGTGGGATTAGAGCGAGCAAACACAGATGGTTAGAAATGGTTAGAAATGCGAGACAGACTTAGACCTAGCTTAGATTCAGCACGTTCACAAAGGCTGCATCAGACTCTCCGCTAGTTGCATCCGCCGAAATCAACCCAACCTATGTCAACCATTATCAAAAGCAACAGAGGTTGCAAAAGCACAGGAGTGACTCTTGCATAATATGGGGGTTGGCGACAACGAACGAGTACCGTGACTACATCCAACACCGTGATGATATTTCCCAAGCGAGAACACCAACATACCTATGGGGACACTCATGTGATGCGTGCCCTCTTGTCCAGGGGTTTGAAAGTCGACCTCGAGAGTGATACTCGCCCCTGCGCCTGGCGCCTCCATCGCGCCAGTACCCGTCAATGGCCCGTTGAGGCCTTTGTGCAACGCAATCGTTATGTGCAACATTGGCTCGATTTGCGCCTGATGTATGTCGGCAAGGGTGGCGCAGCGTGAGGGCGTTCGCAACGGTGAGCTTAGGTGTCACGTGTTTGTTGTGCTCATGGAACACAGGTGAACAGCAAGCGGTGCCTATAGGTAGCGGACTGTAACACGTTCATGTTCATCTCAAGTCAAGCACGCACCTGATGACAAAGAACGAACTGATCCACACCCACGTCGGTGATGACAGCAGACGAATCGAGACCCGGGAAGTCCAAATCAGGGTCCCAGTCATCGTCTGCCATACGCAGTACGTACTTGTCCGCACCCTTTGGGATAAACCGGAGAACAATAATGGGCGGTCAAGCGGTGTCATACAGAAACCACTCCTGTTTTGTTTTTACTCCAATGCGTGCAAGGTGGGTGATTCCTAAGATGGAACAACTAGAAGCCGGTACAAAGTCACGAACCGACTACCAGGTACAGCGCATTTGACTAGGCCACGGTACCAAGCCGCATTTAGCACGCCCGTGGCAATGTGTCGGCTCCCGTTTTGCGGGTAGAAAATACGGGATGGATGCCGACAAACATAGAATCGGGGTGGTGAAAAAAAAGGGTTACACCGTTGGGGGAATGAGCGGGTCAGCAAACATCAAAGGTGGGGCATTCCGCTGTTTAAGATCAGAACCACGTTATACGTCGCCAGAAAATATGAATGAGAAACGGTGGCATTTTTAGCAATGCGACAGAAGTCCAATGCTCTCAATTTCCATCGGTACCTCTTTAAAGCTTGCATTCAGGAAACAATTTGTTCATCAGTGAAACGAGGGATAGGTAGCAGCCTCTCACCTGCGTTAACTCGCTTCCCAGATCACGCGACTTGCACTCGGATACCAAAGCCCTAATCAGCTGCTCAGCCTGATCATGACACGGAGATCAGCATGATGGAACGAATTATTGCAAATACGTCCCGACATTCAACACACAGGCCAAAAAAGGAATGGGGAGCTCACACCCATACTTGTGGTGGGACCATAATCTTTCGAACACTCGTTCATTTTTCTTTAACATTCCGCGGCCATCTATTTCTGCTGGTAACATTGCATCCTTGTGTCGTTTGGACGCGACTTCGAATCTCGCTGCAAGTCACGAGAACTGCGATATTTGAGTCATCTGTGTCCAAACAAATGTGGACAGCCACTTAACTCGTGAATACGTGAATACGCAACATTGGACCTCGAGGACGACGAGGGAACCCAACGGCATCATCTTTCTCACGACAAAGAAAAAAGGCAGTCACCGCACAAGGAAGGTGCAGAAAATCTTGCGTGGCCTACCTCCTACGTGCAATCCATCGTTTAGTCCAAAAACGCATGCTGGCTAAGGGGCAAAAAATTCGATGCCTGTTCACCTATGATACATCGGTAGTATTCATGTTGCTCTTTCCCACGCAGCTCACCGTACACCCCCCTGGACCATGATCAGTGCCATGGTCTACACGCGGATCCCCCATCAAGCTCTCTCCGTCGCTTAAAGTCATCGTATCGTCACGTTGTCGGGCCCCGGCAAGTAGTCCGCCAAGCCCGGACTGCGACGCGCCGATCTGTACAGCTGCAAGCCCGGCAGCAAGCAGCGAGCCCTGTTGCGTTTCTTCCGGAATCTGGGAAGTGAAACGGATTAAGATTGCGAACGCGCTTGCAGCACTGAGAAAATTGGCAACAATGAACGATTGCGACAATTTTCAAATGAAAGCCAGAAGGCACGACAACCGGCACCCACAGAGCCAGCCCGGAGACCTAAGAATGGACAACCACAGCTGCGCATCGCTTAAATGTACGTCCCTGTTAAGACGAGCCCACCTCCGGAACATCCTCCTTGACGATCAAGTCGGCCTTGCCAATGCCTTCTTGGGTGTCAGTCACCACTTCATCTGCAGCCTCCCCGTCAGATTCATATCTTGCAAGAGGTGAGTTTGAAACTGATGGGTCTGGAGGATTGTAAGCGTAGCCATCCCCCAACGTCTCTCCTTCGTACGACGACGAAGGTGTGGTGTCCATGAGCTCAGAAACGAAGCGTTGTTCGCTTTGCGCAGCATCACTGTCCGCATCGCGAGACACCCCGACGCTGCGCCGACGCAGATCTGCGAATTTTATTCGCTCCCCGGTGCTGACTTTCTTCATCTTGAACAAGAAGGAAGTCCCGCGGATGGACAGAAGTCCTGCTTCAAGCGGTGTACAATGCGCTCCCGTTCTGGGAAAAACGAGCGCACGAGACGGAAACGATGCACAGCTTTGGACGCAGGCTATGGGCGTGTGCGCGTTGCTGATAACACATTTGATCACAACCCTGTCAAAGGCGAGGTTCCCTTATTGGTTGGCACATCATTTTCGGACTCCGAGAGGGTCATGCAATAAATCACGTGGTGGTCCCACCAGCTGATATGAGCATAACGAGAACAACGGTACAGGCCCTGGGGAGTCCCAACCGTCTCCTGTATTTGAGTGTCGAACCTTTCATGGTGCACTTCAGCAGTACCGGTACTGGGACATACATAAGGAACAAAACTCTCGTGATGAGGCCATGTGGTTATTGTGCCGATCGTGTTCAAGTCACGTACAAGTCATTCATGCTAATCCATTCGGCCGCCCAAACGGCTACTGCTGTAGCATGCCCGGTGTATTGTTCTGATCTGAAAAAGAACGAACTCTCCCACACGGCAAGACTTCACACGGACACCAAGGCACCAAGACCCACGGAGGACCAAAAACAAACGGCTCTCTGACACTCGCCCCAAAAGCTCGTTGAATGCGTTACGGGACACAACAGGGCCGAAACTACTGAGCGCAGCAAGGGCCCAATAGATGCGTGCGCCCGAAAGATTCGCAAACTGACGTTTTTTCATTTGTCAGTCGGTTAGCGCGGTCGATGCAAATAAGAAAGATACATACGAGACCTACCTCCGTCGGTCTACTACTCACCACAGGCATCACGACAAGGCCGACCTCGACTGGGGCCTAACTAAAATAAATAAGCGTTGTTGGCTCTAGTCAGGGGTTTACGATGCGCTCATGTGCACTGTCCTGGCACGAGCGATGCAACAGGTGACTAGACAACACAACCGCGGTTGTCAGTTTTTTTTTGTTATAATACAACCGTCTTGTTTCGTCTCCCTGAATGTGTTAAGTCTGTTGCATGACTAATTACAGTAAAGTATCCATATTACGCTGCACATGCCGAACTTTTAGACGCACACTTCAGCTTCAGGGCACAGCTAAATAAGTTTTTTTTTTTCTCCCATCATTGGACTCTGTCGTCTGCCCCTCTGGCCTCCATCCTCCACTTCTGCTAGCTAGACGACCCAACCGGGGTCACATGGGAGGGGGGGGGTGGACCCCCTCCTGCGGTTCCTGCCTGAGATATTTTTATCGCGAGAAGGGTACAGCAATCCCTTCCCTCGCGACTTACGAAGTCGATTATGGTTTACTAACAACGAGCTTTGCAGCGCTTCGCTTTCATCCTAGACCAGGATATATTCAGTGAGAAAAAACTCACTCTGCCGGGCCTCGAACCCATGGCCTGGCCCTTACGGCTAAATACATGTAAATGGTGGGGACTCGCATCGGGGGGTCGGCCCTTCCAATCCAACGACAAATTGCGTCCAAAACCAGCCTAGACCAGCAGGCCGGAACGGTAATGCCTGTGTCATGATGGATGTTTCTACTAGAAGTACCATGTTTGAAATCACAGAACGCTTGGGCTGTAGTGCAATCCATAGTTCATGGAGATTCCGGTACAGTACTGCAGCAGCACCAATATGATTATCTACAATAGACTACGTGAGTCATCTGAGCTCCCGGTGCACGAGAAGCGAGTGTTAGTTACGGCAATGCGTTCCGCGACGAATACCGTGAAATGATGAAGGGCGTTACAGATATCAACCTGGGCGTGATTCAGATGTGATGTCGCCAAGATGTAAGACCTACTTCGTGTCTTGTACGGAGGGGCAACGGCTAACCGCGTCATGTGTGAAAATGTGTGAGATGTGGAGATCACGTGCTGACTCTCGGGGCAACGTGCGGAATATATAATTTTGATCACCATCTGGATTCAAGACAGCAGGATTCAACGAACGCATCGATAGTCTTGCGAAGGATGGGGCTCCACATGTAAACATATGGCATGGCTGTGTCTTTCGCGGTTTCGGTCACAGCACAGGCGCGAATTTTGCCCGCGGTTCACAAGAACCGGCACGATGACTCCATCTTACACACCTGTCGGCGCACCTGCCCGAGCAAACACACAACACACCTCCTTTGGGTCAAGCCAACCCCAGGGTCCTTGGTGGTGTTTTCGACAGACGATGAGCCTTTTTGAGCGCGATAGGCCGTTGATCCCTCGCTCGACCACCTCAAATCTCTTGCAGAGGGATTCTCCCTCCCGTTCTCCCGCGGCCACGGTCGTGCGTGGTGGGATGTGATGGACACACCCGAAGGCTGGCCGGGGGGCCGCAACATGCAAAACAAAAAAAACACATGGTGCGTCTCGAGAAGGCCATCATGTGCACCCCTTTCTTCCACTCATCACTCATCACCCTTCTGCAATCTGTCCAGCATCACCACTCGTGTGAGGATGTCCTCGTCAGGGACGTCAGCAAGCAAACGCCCGGATCGATTCCATGGGGCGTTCACGGGAGGCTTCTCGGCTGGGTTTTACAACTCGGTGTGTATTTGTTCTCACGCTGTCCTCTGTAGTCATTAATAATTGGTAGTCTAGTAGTCTTGCAGGCCTTGCATGCAAAGAACAGCAGCAGCTGGTGACTACAGTGTACACATGTAACTTACAGCAGTGTGTTAGCTGTGACTACAGCAACACTGTAGTCTATGTCGTAGTCTACGCACCTTGCTAGAGAGTCTTATGTGATTTTTTTGTCGTTGTGGTTGTACTTCAATATATCCAGCAAAATGCGCGGCGGGGATCGCACTCTTTGTCCAATTCAAAAATCCAGGGAACGCCTGCATATTGCATCTCAGTTTTCCAAAGTCTAACTCTAGTATGCATACGAAACTACAGTACCACCTCAGATTAACCGTCCGCCGCGGTCGCTTGTGTACATTGTTAATGTTAGTGCCTGGGATTGTGGCCCTTGTCATACACGGCAGACTATTGTAGCAGTCCGCGGTTTTCCAAACAGTGATTTTTGGAGCTGCTGTGCGGTCAGATTTTGAGACACTTCAGCACCTTTGCTTGTGGTTGGACTAGACCTACATATGCATGACCCCAGGCGTCCAAATCTACTTGTATGGCGACGAGTAGGACAGTCAGGAAAGAGCTGCACTGAAGTTCGCGGCCCCACCTACTCACGTGGGCGCTGATTCCCCGTTACGTGTGCTTGAACCGTTTCAAATTCGGACCGCACAGCACCTTCAAAAATCCTGCTTGTAACTCGCCGATCTCGATGATAGAATCGCGGGTCGCGCTATTTGTAGTCTGCCGTGTATCACAAGGGCTAAAATCCCAGACACTATAATGACAAAGTACACAAGCGACCGCGGCGGACGATTAATTTGCGATGGTAGTTTCGTGCTGGAGTTCGACTTTTGAAAATTGAGATATGCAGGCGTTTCCTGGATTTTTCAGAAGAAGGTACTGCAACCCCCCCCCGCGTTCTTAGATTTGGCAGAGCACCCATACCTATGCATAGGGCAATTTTTTTCAAGGCACGGAAGAACTTCTAACAATTATCTATGTGTTACAGGGGTTGAACTGGGTAGATGCCCATCTCCCACCCAATCACACGTCGATTTTGTAAGACATTTTGGAAGACAGAGACAAAAGATTGGGCGATGGGCACGACGCTCTCGGGAAAATCCCCGTAATCCTCTAGCACAGCAGCGCCACACACGCCACGCAGACAACATACGCGACAACCAACACAGCAGAATACGGGCTGCTGTAGGCCAGGGGCAGCCAAAGACACACATCATAGGAGGCGTTTGAGTGTGACTTACACAGCCCGTTGCCTGCTGTCGGCAGCTCAAGCGAGTGACGACGCAAAGTCAATCTGCGGTCCGTCTGCATCATACTCAACCTACCGATCTTTGGAGTTTCCCACACAGACGCATCCCCACACATAGACAACGAGACGTACACACTGCTGTAGGCCAAGGCCGGCCAAAGGCGCACATCATGACTGGCGTCGGAAGCTATTTTTGACTCCGAGGCCTGCTGCTAGCAGCGTAAGCGAGGCAACATGCGAAGGCACACAGGTCAAATCTGTCTGCGGCCTGTCTTAGTCTGCAGGCCAATCTTTGCTTCCACCACAGAAACACCCCCGAAACAGAGACAAGTGAGACATACACAACATTGTAGGCCAAGGGCGGCCAGATATACACATCGTAGGACGCATCGGGGGCGGTTTTTAGAGCCCGTTGCCCGCTGCTAGCAGCGAAAGCGAGGAAAGCAAGTGCACACACCCATCCTGCACGGCAGCAGCCACAGCAGCAGCAGCTGCTGCTGCTGCTGCAGCTATACATGAAGCTTATGATTATAAGAGCTAAACAGCGCTCTCAGTCATCCCCTGACTGACGGGTGGTGTCGGGTGAGGTGTGAGCGTGTGCACTGGTGACCTCTGTGGTGTCGGAGGCTCCATCCACATCTATCTANCACCCATCCTGCACGGCAGCAGCCACAGCAGCAGCAGCTGCTGCTGCTGCTGCAGCTATACATGAAGCTTATGATTATAAGAGCTAAACAGCGCTCTCAGTCATCCCCTGACTGACGGGTGGTGTCGGGTGAGGTGTGAGCGTGTGCACTGGTGACCTCTGTGGTGTCGGAGGCTCCATCCACATCTATCTACGCTTGCTTTGATGTCTCTTCGCCCTTCTTGTCGCGCTTCGCGCGAACATATATTGTATATATTTTTTGTTGGACCCCTATGTATGGGAGGTGAGTCTTAGATTATACTATCCAGCAGTCAATACTGGTACGTAAAGTACTAATAATAAGCAAGCGAACGAAGTTTTAGATTTCGGTAGTCTGCTTTTGGTCAGCCCGATGTGCGATGTGTCGAGGACAGCGATGACCTGGGCTTAGGTAAGTCTCATGGTTCCGTTAACCCATCACCTGTGCCGTATTGCCTCGCGTATGCTTTGGTCTCGTTAACCTAGTACTTCCTGGTACTGTCGTGTGTGCGCGAGGAGTTGTGCAGATCTCCTCTTCCGCGACCCAGGCAAAGCCTGCTTAAGAAGCGGTTTCAAGTTTAACTTCAGCATATATGTAGTCTCCATATGCATACGAATCTACGGTCGCGCCAAAGCGCAGCTAAGTGGGATTGCATCCATTGTGACATCACACAGATTTGCGGTCCGCGATTTTCGGGGAAACGAGCCTTTTTTCATTGCCTTCGGTGAGCTACAAGCATGATTTGGATGCTTTGTTGGAAACAAGTACCTGTAATACAGCTTGGGCGGTCTTTTTTCGAACGCCTCAAGCATACAGCCTCCAAGATAAAGAGCCGGTGTGCGTGCGTGCGAATCAAACAAGTGTCGAAAACCATACGAAGTTAAAGTTGACACGCAGTGTCACAAGAAGATTGTTTGTCGCGCTTCCTTCTGAGAGGCACACAGCTCGTCGGTACATTGTCGTACGTGTCTGGGACTCGCCACGCCAGCAGATACAACGGACCACCCCGATATTTGACCATGTGGGCAGATGGCCAGCTAATGACCCTCACGGGTCATTTTGGAGATCAAGTGCCCGAAGACCACTGGCACACCGCCACGCGATGAAACGCGTTCAGCGTGTCGTCTTGCGTCATCCTCGGGATGCCCGTAGCTAACATACCGAAGAGAGAGTTGCAGTTTATACCTGGTTAGTAATTTCGTGGATGCCAGATAACAAGCACGAAGGAGAGAAAAGGAGAGAGGAAAACATCTATAGAAGTTCCAGGGGCATGGGACGAAGGCTGCGAAGCAAAGAGGAAAGGGGAGCAGGACGGCAAGAATACCAACATCACGTCCATCTTTCGAACATGCACATATATACATACCACACCAAAGTATTCTTCTGAGGCGTTTCTTGCATTCGACCCTCACCAACAGGAGCGAGAGAAACGCGCACTCATCTGACACCAGGTCTAAGTTGACGCAGGCGCACAACCACTCGAATACACAACACGTGCACGCGATGCCAGGCGGCACCATGCTCCGCGCCAACTGCACCACAGAGGCACGAGTTGAGAGTCTTCGTCTGCCCTGAAGCTCTTGCCTGTCCCGCAGAAGAACCGCGAGCAGCAAACAGAAACCGCTCTCATCCAAAAATTGCGACGCGTAACTGCTATACTCCTATGTGATACTTGTTTTTTTCTTTAGGAAGGGACGAGTAAACACTTCGTTCGCAGGTCTCAATTAATACAGCGGAATTTTTATGTCACAACTTGACCCGTTAGGTTGGAAGCGCCGAGGGATGGACTCCATCTGCCTTCTCCTCCTCGCGGGACAAACGGGCTGCGCCCAAAGAGCAGAGACCCGAAGACTTTATGGATGACGAGGACGGTCTCTTCACCGAGCAACTGCAGGTATGGTTTCATGGTAGGCTACCCGTTCCGTTAAGGTTGTGCACGAATTGCTCACAAGAACATCCTGTCTGCTGTACAATCTTGAACTTGCAACCTGCATCCGGCGCTGCGCTTCGTGCCCTAGCGACGGAGAGTATTGTTTACCTACCAACCACTGGCGCTGGTATCGCTGCTGTGCCGCTCCCGGCCCACCTCTCCTCTGCTTGCAGGCCAAGCCGGCGTTTGATACGCTTGGTTCCACAGCCGATGAGGTCGCAAGAAAGCACGCGGAGATGGAGGCTGCTGGGGGCGCCATTCCTGGACCCGCGCCATCAGAACTCATTATACCGGTGGGCGACCCAATGGGGAAGAAGCTACTGAGGACGATGGGGTGGAGAGAGGGGCAAGGAGTAGGAAAGCGGGTCAGGAGGAAGCGGCGACGGCCTGCACCAGCCGAAGCGGACGACTCGCCCGAGGATGTGTTACCCGAACAGGCGCGCGCAGGGCTCGGGGAAAAAGGTCGAGAGCTACTCGACAAGGAAGGCTTGACGTTTGCTCCCAGAAACGCTGACGTCAAGATGCAGCATGTTCTCGCGAAGACCAACCTCCACGGGGTAGGGCACGAACCTTTCAAAGACGCCCCCGAGTTTGGAGCAGCCAGAGCCGGAGCCACGGGTGTGCGGAGTGTTTACAGCACTGAAGACATCGTGCAGCACCCTATGGATGCTGGTGCTGCGGGAGGGATGGCGGCCGGGGTTTCGCGGCGGTCATTGGCGGCCGCAGTCGTAGGTAGAGGAAGTCACGGTTTCGTTTTGGATGATGGGGAAGATGACGTATATGAGTCGGGCCTTGGCAAAGAAGCATACGACCAGGCCCTAGATGCAGACGGAGGCAGAGCAGCTGCCCATGCCGGTTTGCCTGGAAGCGCGAAGGCGTGGGCGTTGAGCGGGGCGGCAGATGACGACGAGGACGAACCTATGCTAGCCTCCCGAAGATACGCAAGATGTCCTTCGGACGGCCGTCTGCCACCGACCGGCTTCGTGGTAGCCCAGCGACCGGACGTCCACCAGAAGCACTGGGCACCGCCGATCCCGCCGGCGAACTTCCGCCCGACGATCGAGTTTGAGGATGACGCTAAAACCCCGTTGGAACTGTCCACAAGTCAGAGGTACGGCGGCGCTCATCTGGATGCATCTGGGCGTGCACGATTATTGGGCGAGCCATCAGCCCAATCGTCGACTAGCACGCCTGTCGCTCCACCCACCGTCCTTGACAAAGGAAAGGCACACCTCCCGGACGGTTCATCCGCGCTCTCTTTCTTGTCTCCAGCAGCACGCAAGAAGGTTCTAGAGGCTGCGAACGCAACCAAGGCACCCTCGCGTTCTTCTCCCGATACTGGAGGGGCTGCTTCAAAGCATCAGCGACCTCTTGGATCTATGAGCCAGGTCTGAACCGAATGTCATTGCCGTTCGCGTTGTGCTTCCAAGTATTTGATATTGGCCGCTGTTCAGAATTGGCTCGAAATTGTGTGTTCGGTTGCTTTCGTGCTGCATGTCTTGGGCGCGCCGAACATACCACTGATGTGTCCCGCTGCCCTACTTGCCGGTGCCCCTTCGAAGGTGATGAGTACAGCGAATGACCTCAATCACACTTTTGCCCCTTTTCGACGGGAGGTTTTGAAGAGCTCCATGTAGGGCAAGTATTTTGCAAATTATGTACTACAAGTAGAACATCATCTTACGAAAGATTCGTGCTTTTCAACAATGATGAAATTCCGCAGGATAATTCGAGCCAACAGTCTGAAGGCCTGCCATTCACCTTGGCAGCTAAGTTCACGTCAGAGACACCAGCGGCTTCCAACTCTGATGAGCCTCAAGACCAAGTTGCGGGGATAATTGACCCAACAAGTCGTCCCGCAGGTCTTACGTTGCGCAGGCCAGCCTCAACTGATACTTTGAACAAGGCGTCTACGGCAACGGTCTCAGTGGACAAGAGCGGCAGAACCGAGGAAGAGCTGAACCCCGTGCGGCGCACGGGCGATTGGATTCCGACTCCCCTCTTGTGCAAGCGATTCAATGTCCCGGTTCCGAAAACTTCGTCTTCTAGTATGGAGTGGACAACCAAGGGCGGAAGGCCTGCAGGTGCCGAAGAGAAAGCACTTGGACCGTTGACGAAGTTTGTTCCAGATTCTTCGGCCATCGATCAGCCTCAGGTTTGGTTTGCGTTTGTGTAGTTTCTTGATCCAACAGGTTTCGTGCATCTCCTCTATTGCTGTACAGTATATGTGTTCTAGCAACACAGCAGTTGACAAAAGGGTACGCCAAGACCAGCGACCAGATTGCGTCGTCAGTACGTAATTTCCTCGGTCCAGCCCCGAGCTGACGGTTCGATTGTTTGTTTTACCTGTGCCAGATCCCTTTGCTGAAGGACTTGGAGCAACGACATCCAATCGGCAATATGTCTGCCTCTGCATCATCTGGGATTGGTGATGTTGTAGTCACGGACAATGGTCTTGCGGAGAGGCCGCCCATTGACCTCTTCAAGAGTATTTTCGAGTCTGAATCTGAGATTGACTCGGCGGAAGATGAGGAGAGTGAACAAGAGTCAACCTTGGCAGCTGCTGGCGAACCAAGCATAAGCTCTCCGAGACCACGAGCGGAGAGTCAGCGAGCTCCTCATGACTTGTTCGGCAAGGCTCCGGTAGACCGAGGGTACGGAACCGATTCTAGCGAAGAAAGCCCCGGGCAGGTTGAAGGAGGTCATCAAGTCGTCGACGAGGCAGGGGGTGCTGGCGGCGAAGGGCCGAATATCCCAGGCGAAAAGACGATGTCAGCTCGTGACGATGAGAGGCGCACAAGACGAAGAGAGAGCAGCAGCAAGAAACACAGCAGCAGGAAGCACGGCAGCAGTAAAAAACACAAAAAGAACCGGTCGGAAAAGAGGGATCGAAAGCACGACCACAAACGAAAAAAAAGTAGCTCCTCTAAGAGGTACTTTTCGAGATAGCTTGAAGGATGGTGACGGTACCATGCGTGTTGCCGGCGTGTGTTGACCTAGCAACGTGCCCCCGTTGGGCCCAACTTGAAAGAGGGAGTAAACCACGAAGTATTCATTTATCAACGGAAAGCCTTTCATTTCAAGACGGTTTGACGAGGCCCGACTCAAAGAGATAGTTGGCTACGAGCTTGCGCCTTGTGAGATTTTCGCTCAAACCGCGCTTGTCCGGTGTGTATTGTATTCTTGACGCCCACATTGCCTAGCCCTAGAGCTTGTCTTGGGATTTCGCGCCTGTTGCATATATCTCCCTCTCCGCGGGGTTCTCAGGGCGGTTCACGGTATACACATTGATGTTGTGCCGTGAGCAAATAAACGAGGCAGGAGTAAACGAAATAGCTCTGCCAAGATCTTGCCGTCGCCACAGTAGTAGTAGGTGTTTTCGCGTCTTCAAAAAGATAAGACTTACTGTACATCCTAGAGGGGAGTTGTAGCATGGGCATGGCAAGTGGGGGGAGGTATCTTCGGAGCATCGCCCTCGCTCGCCTGCTCTCATCGTGTGGGACTCGTCCCTCTCGCTGCGCATTACATCTTGACCAACCCCAGTCTTAGACTAGCTTGCTTGCGCAAGTTCATTCAATCGTTCGCGACGCTCTGAGCCTCTTCTTCTCACCAAAATTATTGCTGAAAATTAAATCGCGATCCAAATGGTGCAATTGGCTCCCGGATGGAGGTTTACTGCTGTAGGTCCTTCTGGTGCGTTTGGAGTGTCAACGTCGCCGTGAAGACTACGCACGCACGTGTCGGATGTTAGATGAATTGCGCAGTTCCCCGCATGCATAGAAATCCCATCTGTCTACAAAAAGGTATCCATATCTTTTTAAATGAAATAGACTATATATGAACACAGCAGACACACTCGCATTTCTACCCTATCTCCACCCCCACCGTACGCACGACAGAGAACATCCACAGCTTCTTCAGTCACTCCTCCGCCCTCTGCTACTTGCTTCGTGGTAGTGAGCCTCCACCTCCGCCCTATGTTGTGGGATATCGGGTCCACCCGCACAACCTTTCGCCTCTACCCTCTTGGAAACCTCCGACATATTGTAACGGCTCATTTGTTTTTTCGATGAAGCCGCCCCGACACGTCTTGCACTTTCCTGATGCCTCAATCTTCATCGGACACTTCTCGCTAAACATGAAGGCTCCCTTGGTATTTACCATCAACGTGATACTCTCGGTGACGGCGACCAGCGCTGATGAATGCCACGATATTTGTGCGAACGTGAAAAAAAGCGTTGGGTTCAAGGCTGGATGTAGCGAGTTCCGCAACTCGCTGCCAAGACCGAAGGTGTGTAGGTCAGATATGTAATTTGTGTCATGCTTCGTCTTGTCTTGCAAATGATGATACTACCCTGCTCTCCATGGGAGGAAGGACTGGAAGTAGGTTTGCTGCGGGAGGTCAAGTATATGCGCACCCTGTGTTTGGGTGATACTCCCAGGTGTGAAACACACCGTACAATGTGCGTCTATGCCAGGTTTCGAGCAAATGTCACACGGGATTCAAGGCGGCTGTCGAAAGGAACTGCCACGACGCCTGTGTAAATGGAGGACGCCTTCAGCCATTCCTTGTCGAGCGCCGGCTAGACGAAGCATGCAACGGTGCACTGAATGATACTCCGAGGCCGCTCTGCCACGACGCTTGTGTTCGAGGTTATCGTTCAGGCGTCAAGGACATGACTACTTCGCTCGGGAAACTTATGGCCGAGGTTCGGACCTTCCCCCAACTACGTCGCGCACGACCAATCGCAAGATCTGAGATCCAACGGACATGAGATAGACAGCATATTTCCATCCTTCCTCGATTGAGACAACACGAACAAGCACAACCGCGGAGCGTATGATTACGATAGTGTCATCTAGTCTCGTCTACTTCAACTCTATCAACTATTTTGTAGACTAATTAGACTAGATTGCGAAAGTTGTTCGTGGTACTTTTTTCGAAGTTCGTGGAATGTTGCCAAGTTACAGCATAAAATAGGCGTGTCTTGTGCTAGATGTGCCCGTGCCAATGTTTGTTCATTAAAGGGACTATCCACTTGATTAGATCACAGGCTACCACCTGGTTTTTGTATGTGTACATATTAACAGCCTACAGCCTGTGGCAGCCAACTTCCACTGGTACCCGCTCCGTCATTTCACCACTCGCCATGCTGACACGTGTGTTTGGGTCGTGAAGGCATCTCCGGCGGTCATCACAGCGTTGAAGGGAAATACTCTGTCCCGCCAAGCCGCCCAAAAAACGCATGTCGTTGCCACTGACGACTCCAAGACTGTCGAAGGAACATCAGAGGGGGTGAGATAATACCTCCTCCGTGGAGAGGCCAAGATGTAAAAACATTTCTGTACCGGGTGAACGCATCCGCATGCGCACAGTAAAACATTCGAGACCTAACGAATACTAGGCTGTTTGCCAACGGTCCCGAGGGGGTTGTCAGGACCTATCCGCCGAACGCTGCAAGTATTGGGGTAGAGCTCAGAAGAAATGATTCGCTGCCTGCCCTAGTTTCATGTCATGTCTGGAACATAGCGTGCCCGTGCATGAATTTTAGACCTGGAGGTATTATTGTGGGTTCGCGGGCTGATGCTACTGTATGCAGGTTGTTACTTTTAGGTCTCGGGCTTAGGGGCTGACTCTCCCGACAACGTGACATGCAGCGCTTCTTTTGTTCAAATCAAACACGAGCAACACACGATGCATGACATTCAGCCCTGCGTCTAGTACGAGCTCAGTTTCGTCTCTCCGACCGTGCTCTTCGTTGTTTTCGATTTTGCGTTTGTCGTTAGCCGATTGCCTTCGCCGAAGATGCTATTGCCAGGCCATCGCAGATGGCTGACCTGAGTGATCACGGAAACGACACCCCTGTCCCAGAAGAAAAGGAGCACGGAGAGGCCCAGGATCTCGAAAGTAAGGGCGGACTGCAAACAGATGCTCAGGTCATTGGTGATGAACCCCCGCTCGCCGCCGGCGACATCTACAAGGTTGAGGACGAACCGGACCTTGCGAGGGATGCTGATAGTGCGTTGATTGCGCCAGACGGAGAAATGGACGCGCAGCACAAACTGGCGGCAATCAAAGATGGAGAAAACAAAGGCGAAGACAACTACATGTGGATTGAAGATGTGAGGCATCTTTCACGTGTATTGTATATGGTAGGCTTTGGCTCGTGTAGTGCAGTTCTCCTCGCTTGACCTATTCCGCATCTGGTCGAGGTGATGACCTTTGCGCCGAATCTCTCTCTCTATGACGACGCGTATTTCAAGCTGTTTTTGTTCATGCCGTATTTTCTCAAACTGCAGTGCTCCTCGCTTGTCGTGTTTTTGGTTTCCCAGGAGAAGGAAAATGTGCTGCTTTCACTTCCAATCACGGTGGACAACGTTTTGAAGGAGCTCGTGATTGTCAAAGGCGATCAACCGCTGGACGTAGTGCTCGCGTTTTGTAGGGAAAATATGCCGGAAGAAGGTCCCGCCTGCGCAGATGAACTCATTCGTGTGGTACAAGACAAGATTTCTACCGGAAAGGCACCGCAAGAGGAGTATATTTAGAGTGCATCCCATACGGTCGGGTGCTGTAACTCTGTAGGAAGGCTAGTACGTCTATAGCAATCGTTTTGTCATTTACGGGGACCACACGTTTCGGACACCTAGTAGCTCTTTTCAGGCGTTGGAGTTAGAAGCATGGAACCAACCCTTTTAAGCGGGATTGACCGTGATGCCCAGAAGAACTGGTGCTAGTTTTCATTTGAAGCCAGGTATCGTCTTGGCACGCCGAGAAGCTTAAGAGTTCAACTCTTCAAGTAGAGGTGTTGTGCGCGGTCCTGACTGTACGTATGCATAGACGATATGTATTTTTTCAACATTTTTCTAGGAAGCGGGAAAGGTCGTTGTTTCCAGTAGCCCCTCTCAATCAGTCACTTTCATTATCTACCGCGCTCCGCACAAGGACGACCAGCATATATTTCAAACAAAGTGTGTCGTCCTGTTGTCTGGAATGTGTTTTTTATCAGTGGTACATCCAGTTGTTACGTGTCAATCTACCGCTGTACGATGGCAGCACAAAGCGGTATCATTTGACGAAAGGTCCGGTGAAGCTGACACAAGACGAAGATCACACACCACGTTGTCTGCATCGAAGTGATTAACATCCCCTCGAGACTCGGCTACGACAGATTTCGCTTGTAGAGGTGCAAAACGACGGACAACATGTATGCAAATCAATCTATGGTGATCTCATACTGAGAAAGTTACCCCGATCGATCACAGTCGACCTGAACTTGCAGCCACCTTGAAATGAACACGGCGTAGCCAACGCGACCAGCGCAACCCATGAGACTACCTTCAACTCTGGAACCACAATAATAAGAATGGGGGAAGGGCAACAGATTCTTTGAGCCTTGAATAACTTCTGATGACGTGGCGGACATAGCGCACCCACCCGTGAAAAATACGCCCGGAATAATCGACGCGCCGTCGTTCGGCCGTCCTCCCAGGAACTTACACCTCTATTAGCCAACCGCAAATAGAGTCATCAAAGGGGAAAGTAATGTGGAGGTCACGTTTTGGAAAGGGTCACATCTCCCCAACGGTGTGTCGAGAACGATTCCCTTCTGGTAAGCAGTGTCGTTTCGAAACATGTAATCCCCCCATCCTTATATATGCACTTAATAGTCTAAACACACCGATCGAACGACCGCAGGTCCATCTACAGCAACTACATAGGTAACAACGCGATCATTCGAAGGAACAGGTAGCGATCGCTATATATATCGTTGTGGACAGCCGAGCCTTTCTGTCCAGCCCGATCACTGCCGCCATCGACCCCGGTATGTATCTGTTCTCGGTCAAAGTGGGCACTGATATAACGACGCACTGGCACCTGGCAATATCAGAGTAAGTACTGTAGAGAGAGAGATAGATTTGCTCCGCACTATACATACGGATCTACGGAGATCAGGGGTTTTCGTTTTATCATGTATATTTGTATGTGTTTGTGGAAGCTGATTGGTGATCTAGTGGGTCATCGTGCTTCTCAACAAAAGTTATAATGCCCACGTCAGGTCTGGCTTTGCAGCCACGAACACGTCCCCCCAGGGTTGCCATCCCTGTGGTCAGCGCTGTCTTGCCCGGAGGATCGCGATCGGTACAAGGGGTCCATCGGCATATTTGCGAAGACTATATCCTCAGACTTTTCTTCCCATATATCGGGCGCGAAGAAATTTTTGCCCGAGGGGAGATAGATTCGAACCGCCGACATGATTAGCTTTTGTTGAGAAGCACGATGACCACTAGTCCAGCGTCACGATGACCACGAGATCACCATATGTGCTGGCGCGTTTTGTATGTGTTGTATGAGCGTGACTTTTTTTTCTCAAGATCTGAGATCTGAGAACGAGTCTGATATATAAATATTTAGATCTGAATTTGACAGTCCCTCCACCGTAGTTCAAGCGAACAGCAACATCTCGTCGGTTCAATTCCTACCAGCGCACGCCGTACACGCTCAGTCACTCACAAACGCAGATGGCGGCTTTCGGAGCTCGCGGAGCGGGGTATGGACTGGACGCAGAACTTGCTCGTCAGAGAGAGGCGAAGTATGACCATTCCGCGGAAGACCAAGCGCAGGTACGTGCTGCACGAGGGGGCTGACTCTAATGCTGTCTCGACTATATGTGCAACAATGCGCCTGTTCTGTGTTGTGGGCCTTCTCGCTGCGTTGAGCCCGTCAGAGGCGACCTCGCATGGTATATACATTGAGGTGCATGACGACGCACACAACAAGTCGTGTGGTTGTGTAAGTTCAGAATAATATCGAAGTGCGCGGTCTTTGGAGGTCAAGCTGACCGCAAAACATGTGTCGGACCGCGGAGTCATTCCCTTCTCCTACGCACGCGAAGAAGAAGTGGATGGTAGTAGCAGCAGTTCCTCGCCCTAACTCTACCCTCGCTCCAGCCCGCGACTGCGCCTACAGTAGTTGAGGATATTGAAGGAGGTGTGTGTCGAGGTGAAGCCCCATGATCTTGGCACGTCACGAAAAAAACTATTCGTCCTTGACGGGGGGCTGAGTAGATGACCATCCAATGTTATACCAGTATAGTCTAACCGCTCGACTTGGAAACTGCTTTTGCTGACACTCGGGGGTGGGGTGGTTCTAGATCGACTTTCGTCAACCGTCCACAAGTGATTCATCATATGGTTCTGGAGGGTGCGTGATCACCATGCTAAAAAATTACTTCGTGTTATGTATTCAACGACGAAGTCTGTGTGCCATCCGCACAACACGGTGGCGAGCGAAACCCAGAGTCTCTTGTTGGTCGCTCCGACAGCCGTGGTTTAGGGTGATGTGCTGGTTTACGTCCTCTTGATACACTTTCAAATTGTCAAGTACAGCTTTCGAAATCGTTCGGTCGAATGCGCTTTGGATCCAAGGGCTTGCGTGACGCATTGAGCGCAAACATAATACTTTGAGTCCGGTCAAGGTTAAGCATATACTTCGAAATCGTTTCTATGTGTTCTATATATAGATATACCTGTTCCTCACAATCGCATGGCCCCGTCGTGCAGGCATGGATCGAAGCAGTGACAGGCGAGCGGGTTGTCGGCCCCTTCGGAGACGCCTTGAGAGATGGCGTCGTTATCTGCAAGGTGATCGAACGAGCATGCATTTTTTCTACATAGAGAATGCGGAGTTCTCAGCAGGCATTGCTCTCTTTGCCCTGTTTTTTGTACCTTTGAACGATCGAAACCCTCAGTGCGAACCTCATGTTAAGCCTTCCGACCGTTTCCCCCAACCCCAATTACTCCTGACACCCCAATAGCTTGTCAACACTATCAAACCGGGTGCGGTGCGGAAGATCAACGAGTCAAGGATGCCCTTCAAACAGATGGAAAACATCTCGAACTTTCTGAAATCCTGCAGGGCGATGGGAGTCGCCGAGCATTCGCTGTTCGAGGTGCGGGAATCAACGCAGTCGTCATTCTTGTGCTATTGGTTGCTACATATAAACCCAGGTTTTACCGTAGAGATGCGACGCAATCGTTTCATGTTCTGTTGTTGTTAGGCCTGCAGTTGTCACCATCGACGTTCTGTGGCCCTGTAGGTCCCGAGAGAGAGGCAAGAGCGCATGCCTTCTCGCGTGACGTCGCAGGTTTTTACCTTTGTCTTTTGCTCTGTACTTGCTAAATCGTCGCTCTGTCGCCGCAAAAAGACGGTGGATCTGTACGAAGGAAAAGACATCGGGCTAGTGGTGCGCTGCATTTTTGCCTTGGGAAGCGCCGTTCAGGGTACTTGCCCGGAGTACACCGGGCCGACCTTAGGCGCCAAGCCTCACAAGGTGAATGAAAGAAAGTTGGAGCTACGGGGGGGGGCTAGACAGGGAACTATCCGTGGTGAGAGATCGTTTTGCCTTTTCCGCAGCAGGATAGTAGTGCTGCTTCTTCTGATTACAAATATTGTGGGTGTGCATGTTCGACTTAATTCATTACAGCCGTTCCCTACGACTTTTTAAAATGTGGCTGTTGTGATGCACAAACCAGGAGAACAAGCGGATTTTCAACGAGCAGCAGAAGCAACAGGCCAGAGTCAACGCCTCATTCTCCAAGCTCGGCATGGGTTCGGCCCACAGCATGGAGCGTTCACAGGCAAGATAACCAACGTGTCTTTTTTTGCACGATAGGGTTCAGGCGACCCTGGAAACCTTCCCGCGTCACCTCGACTTCAGCGCGCTGCTGAAATTCCACGAAACTCCCGGGTTTCCCTCTGTGTGTGGAATCCTCAACAGATTTCTAAACCAGGCATTTGCTTTGGAGCCGAGAACGCTGGCACTGGGGACACCACGACAGTCCGCAAACTAGCGAAGGTGAAACAGGGAAATCGTGAAATGGTGCCAAGTCGTTGTCGCGTGGAGTTGTCGCGGAGATTGGCTAATCGACACACATATTGGTGCCCTTGTGTGCCATCAGAGCCGCAACGCGAAAATCTGAAGAAGCAAGATATTTTAAGTATGAGACGTTCGTGTTTGTTTCTGCTCGTATCACCGAAGGGCTCACATGGTATTCAAGAGCACCTTCCGGTGGATCAATCCAGGAGCATTACGTTTGGCAAAGACAAGGTCGGAACGGGCGGCACCACAACCATCGGCAAACTCACTCAGGTTAGTCGTTGTGGACTTGAGAAGCGGGTGGGCGGTGAGGGTTTGAAAGCGCCCCGTGACAACCGGTAAATCTTCATAGATTCAAGGATACTGCTACCATCCACAAGCAAGTTCTGGTGTGTGTGTGTGTGTGTGTTTTCGTCCTATTTATTATGGCGACAGTGACGTGGACTACACTTTTCAATGTATTTTTTCGTACAACTGCAACCGTCCAGGCTGACACACAAGGGGGTAAATACCAGGGCGTTATTCTTCTCTTTTTTTTCATTTTCGTGTTCTACCTTCCTCCTTCCGTGCGTGCTGAATTTTATTTTTTTCGCGAGAAGAGTCGAGCCGTCCCTTTCTCTCGTCAACGGTGCTGACGTCGAGTTTTGTTTCTCACGAGAGCTTTTTCAGCCATATTTCGTTTTCACCGGCAAGTTTTGTAATTTTTCGCTCGCAATCTAGACTTCAGTGGGTTGGCGCTGTTGGCAAAGCGCTGTAA